TGATTGGCAAGAGCAGCAGGCCGACGAGTGTTTTTGTTGTTTATTGATATTAATGTTTATGCTTCACTGCAATATTTATCAGACAAGGATGTGTATTTTTCTTCGGGTGGGGCAGCATCATTTGCATGACGCTCTTGGCGTTTTTGTGCCCTTCACCTTTACTGGGCAAGACTATATTATATATAATTTAAATCAAATACTTGTTATTGAAAAATTTCATAATTAATAAAGCGGCTTTGGGGGTTTCCCCAAATGCCATTTTACTCCAAATGAATATTGCGTGTTTCAATTTCGTGCCCAGTAAACCGAGCTCAGAAAAGTTCACATCCTTAATTCTGTACACGGGAGAAAAAGAAAATCATAAATGAAATATTTGAAGGCAAATAGAGTTTTTATGAGTTTCTTGGTTGGAAATTTAATCCAAGTTGATCATACGGAAGTTGCCGATGTGAAGGAAGAAGCAAGGGGGATTGGTGACGAGCCTCGGTCTGACGTAGAACGCCGACATAAAACCAAGGCTACCACGTGAGATCGGCCTCATTTGCCGCTTGATTTCGCCGATAACAGAAGAGAAATTTCCCACCATCCCTCCCTTACTGCTTTCTTTATGTTTAGCTATATTGTTGTATGCATAATTTTTTGTTAGCGTTTTTGTGCCCTTCACCTTTACTGGGCAAGACTATATTATATATAATTTAAATCAAATACTTGTTATTGAAAAATTTTATAATTAATAAAGCGGCTTTGGGGGTTTCCCCAAATGCCATTTTACTCCAAATGAATATTGCGTGTTTCAATTTTGTGCCCAGTAAACCGAGCTCAGAAAAGTTCACATCCTTAATTCTGTACACGGGAGAAAAAGAAAATCATAAAGTTCTTTTACTAGCCACAATGGAATGTAATTCCAATATCAGCAGTTCCTATAGCAGCCAGATTGGAATTTGATTCTAATCTCAACAGTTATAATTCTTATACACGCCAGATTCGTATTTTAATTCTTATCTCAGTAGTTCTTATACTTGCCAGATTGGAATGTTAATGTAATCTCAACAGTTTTAATACAATAAGCCGCATTGCAATGTAAATCTAATCTCAGTAGTTCTAATATTATTACTAGCCAGATTGCAATTTGATTCTAATCTCAACAGTTCTAATATCCTAACTAGTTTGAAATTTGATTGTCTCAACAGTACTTATACTAGCCAGATTGGAATGTAAATCTAATCTCAGTAGTACGTATACCAACAAGATTGGAATGTAAATCTAATCTCAACAGTTCTTATACTAGCCAGATTGGAATTTAATTCTAATCTCAGTAGTTCTTATACTAGCCAGATTGGAATGTAATTCCAATCTCAACCGTTTTAACACAATGTGCCAGATTGGAATGTAAATCTAATGTCAGTAATTTCTATACTATAGGCAGATTGGAATTTGGTTATAATCTCAACTGTTCTTATACTAGGCAAATTAGAATAGAATTTAATTCTATTATCAGTAGTTCTTATACTAGCCAGATTGCAATTTGATTATAATCTCAGTAATTCTTAATGTACCCAGATTAGAATTTCATGATAATCTCAACAGCTCTTATACTTGCCAGATCGGAATGTAAATCTAAACTCAGTAGTTCTTAGATTATTACTAGCCAGATTGCAATTTGATTCTAATCTCAATAGTTCTAATATCCTTACCAGATTGAAACTTGATTCTAATCTCAACAGTACTTATACTAGCCAGATTGGAGTGTAGATCTAATTAATCTCAGTAGTTCTTATACCAGCCAGATTGGAATGTAAACCTAATATCAACAGTTCTTATACTAGCCAGATTGGAATTTAATTCTAGTCTCAGTAGTTCTTATAGTAGCGAGATTGGAATGCAATTCTAATCTCAACAGTTGCAATACAATGAGCCAGATTGGAATGTAAATCTAATCTCAGTAGATCCTATACTATAGCCAGATTGGAATTTGAGTATAAACTCAACAGTTCTTATACTAGCCAAATTAGAATAGAATTTAATTCTATTATCAGTAGTTCCTATACTAGCCAGATTGCAATTTGTTTATAATCTCAGTAATTCTTAACCTACCCAGATTAGAATTTGATTATAATCTCAACAGCTCTTATACTTGCCAAATTGGAATGTAAATCTAATCTGAGTAGTTTTTATACTATCCAGCTTGGAATTTGATTATAACCTCAACAGTTCTTATTCTAGCCAGATTAGAATACAATTTAGTTCTAATCTCAATAGTACTTAATCTACCGAGATTGGAATTTGATTCTAATCTCAACAGTTAAAATTCTTATACTAGCCAGATTGGAATTTAATTCTAATCTCAGTAGTTCTTATACTAGCCAGATTGCAATTTGACTCTAATCTCAACAGTTCTAATATCCTAACCAGATTGGAATTTGATTCTAATCTCTACAGTTATATTTCCTACACTAGCCAGACTGGAATTTAATTCTAACCTCAGTAGTTCTTAAACTTGCCAAATTGGAATGTAATTCTAATCCCAACAGTTTTAATATTAGCCAGATTGGAAGGTCAATCTAATCTCAGTAGTTCCTATACTACCCAGATTGGAAGTTGATTCTAATCTCAGTCATTGTTATACTAGCCAGATTGGAATGTAAATGTAATCTCAACAGTTTTAATACAATAAGCCATATTGGAATGTAAATCTAATCTCAGTAGTTCATATACTAGCCAGATTGGAAGTTGATTTTAATCTCAGTAGTTCTTATACTACCTAGATTGGAATTTGATTATAACTTGAACAGTTCTTATATTAGCCGGATTGGAATGTAATCTAATCGCAGTAGTTCTTATACTAGCCAGATTGGAATTTGATTTTAGTCTCAACAGTTCTTTTACTAGCCACATTGGAATGTAATTCTAATTTCAATAGTTCTTATACCATCCAGGTTGGAATTTGATTCTAATCTCAACAGTTGGAATTCTTATACTACCCAGATTGGGATTTAATTCTAATGTCAGAAGTTCTTATACTAGCCTGATTGGAATGTAATTGTAATTTCAACAGTTTTAACATTAGCGATCAGATTGGAATGTAAATTTAATATCAGCAGTTCTTTTACTATAAGCAGATCGGAATTTGATTATAAACTCAACAGTTCTTATACTAGCCAGATTGGAATTTGATTATAATCTCAACAGTTCTTATACTAGCCAGATTAGAAGAGAATTTAATTCTAATCTCGTTAGTTCTTATGTTATTACTAGCCAGATTGCAATTTGATTCTAATCTCAACAGTTCTAATATCCTAACCAGATTGAAATTTGATTCTAATCTCAACAGTACTTATACTAGCCTGATTGGAGTGTAAATATAATCTCAGTAGTACGTTTACCAGCCAGATTGGAATGTAAATCTAAACTCAACAGTTCTTATACCAATCTGATTGGAATTTAATTCTAATCTCAGCAGTTCTTATATAGCCAGATTGGAATGTACTTCTAATCTCAACAGTTTTAATACAATGAGCCTGATTGGAATGTAAATCTAATCTCAGTAGTTCCTATACTATAGCCAGATTGGAATTTGATTATAAACTCAACGGTTCTTATACTAGCTACATTGGTATTTAATTCCAATATCAGTAGTTCTTATACTAGCCTGATTGGAATTTGATTCTAATCTCAACAGTAATAATTCTTATACACGCCAGATTGGAATTTAATTCTAATCTCAGTAGTTCTTATACTAGCCAGATTGGAATGTAGTTCTAATCCGAACAGTTTTAATATTAACCAGATTGGAATGTAAATCTAATCTCAGTAATTCTTATACTACGCAGATTGGAATTTGATTATAATATCAACAGTTCTTATGCTAGCCAGATTAGAATAGAATTTAATTCTTATCTCAGAGTTCATATACTAGTCAGATTGCAATTTGATTCTAATGTCAACAGTTCTAATATCCTTCCCAGATTGCAATTTGATTCTAATCTCAACAATTCTTATACTAGTCAGATCGGGATGTAAATATAATCTCAGGAGTTCTTATGCCAGCCAGATTGGAATGTAAATCTAATCGCAACAGTTCTTATACCAGCCAGATTGGAATTTAATTCTCATCTCAGAAGTTGTTATACTAGTCAGATTGGAATATCAGTGTAATCTCAACAATTTTAATACAATAAGCGACATTAGAATGTAAATCTAATCTCAGTAGTTCTTATACTAGCCAGATTGGGAGTTGATTCTAATCTCAGTAGTTCTTATAGTACCCAGATTGGGTTCTGATCCTAATCTCAACAGTTAGAATTCTTATAGTAGCCAGATTGGAATTTAATTCTAATCTCAGTAGTTCTTATACTAGCCTGATTGCAATGTAATTGTAATCTCAACAGTTTTAATATTAGCCATCAGATTGGAATATAAATTTAATATCAGTAGTTCTTTTACTATAGGCAGATCGGAATTTGATTATAAACTCAACAGTTCTTATACTAGCCAGATTGGAATTTGATTATAATCTCAACAGTTCTTATACTAGCCCGATTAGAAGAGAATTTAATTCTAATCTCAGTAGTTCTTATGTTATTACTAGCCGGATTGCAATTTGATTCTAATCTCAACAGTTCTAATATCCTAACCAGATTGAAATTTGATTCTAATCTCAACAGTACTTATACTGGCAAGATTGGATTGTAAATATAATCTCAGTAGTACGTTTACCAGCCAGATTGGAATGTAAATCTAATCTCAACAGTTCTTATACCAACCTGATCGGAATTTAATTCTAATCTCAGCAGTTCTTATACTAGCCAGATTGGAATGTAATTCTAATCTCAACAGTTTTAATACAATGAGCCTGATTGGAATGTAAATCTATTCTCAGTAGTTCCTATACTATAGCCAGATTGGAATTTGATTATAAACTCAACAGTTCTTATAGTAGCCACATTGGAATTTAATTCCAATATCAGTAGCTCTTATACTAGCCTGATTGGAATTTGATTCTAATCTCCACAGTTATAATTCTTATACACGCCAGATTGGAATTTAATTTTAATCTCAGTAGTTCTTATACTAGCCAGATTGGAATGTAATTCTAATCCGAACAGTTTTAATATTAACCAGATTGGAATGTAAATCTAATCTCAACAGGTTTTATACTAGCAAGATTGGAATTTAATTCTAATCTCAGTAGTTGATATACTAGCCAGATTGGAATGTAAATGTAATCTCAACAGTTTTAATACAATAAGCCACATTGGAATGTAAATCTAATCTGAGTAGTTCATATACTAGCCAGATTGGAAGTTGATTCTAATCTCAGTATTTCTTATACTACCCAGATTGGATTTTGATTATAAGCTGAACAGTTCTTATATTAGCCAGATTGGAATGTAATCTAATCGCAGTAGTTCTTATACTACCCAGATTGGTATTTGATTTTAGTCTCAACAGTTCTTATACTAGCCAGATTGGAATGTAAATCTAATTTCAATAGTTCTTATACCAGCCAGATTGGAATGTGATTCTAATCTCAACAGTTATAATTCCTATACTAGCCAGATTGGAATTTAATTCTAATCTCAGTAGTTCTTACACTAGCCATATTGGAATGTAATTCTAATCGCAACAGTTTTAATATTAGGCAGATTGGAATGTAAATCTAATCTGAGTAGTTCTTATACTACCCAGATTGAAATTTGATCATAATCTCAACAGCTCTTATACTAGCCAGATTAGAAAAGAATTTAACTTTAATCTCACTTAAACATGCTATATGCAAATAACTTTTTACGCATTATAAGAAAACCGACAAGAGTTACTGATTATACTAAAACACTAATTGATCAAATATGTAGTAATGCCCCTATTGACCAAATCCTTTCGGGCGTTGGATTAATGATGGGCATATCTGATCACTTACCAATTTTCTGTATTGTAAGTACAGGAATAAAAAGGGTTAAAGCTAAAAATTTATATAGAGATTTTAGTACTTTTAACAATGAGCTATATCTTGAGGATATTCATAGTGTTGGCTGGAATGGTTTAATAGATGAGGATAAATGCTTAAATGAAATAACAAATAGTGTTATAAGTACGCTTAATCAAATTGTAAATCAACACGCTCCATTTAAAGTAGCTTCGCAAAGTTTAAGGAAACAACTTGACAAACCCTGGATAACTAAGAGAATTCTAAAATCAATAAAAATAAAGCAAAAAATGTTCCATACTCATTTCCATTCTAATGATATTAGCAAAGTAAGTCAATATAAGCTATATGCTAATAAATTAAACTAAATAACAATGCTTAGTAAAAGGCAATATTGTCTGAATAATTTTGATAAGCAACATGGAAATTAATAGGAATATTAATAAAAAGGAAAACTAAAAGCCAACCATATCCATCTAAGTAGTTAGAAATGGTAAAGTATATACAGAGGAAATTGATATAGCAAATCAATTTAACCAACACTTTGCAAATGTTGGCCCACATTTGGCTAGTAAAATTGAAAAAGTTATAATATATTCGAAACTGTCCGAGCTCTAGTTTTGTATTATCCCCTGTACGAGCTTCAAAAGTATCTGAATTATTTTCTAATTTAAATACAAACAAGGCTAGCATTAATATTCCCAATACATTAATAAAAATTGTTGCAAAACAACTCTAAATACCTTTCACTTATATCTATAATAAATCATTTGAAACAGGTATTGTACCAGACGTTCAAATATCGAGAATTACTCCTATTTATAAAAATGGTACATGCACTGATCCGTTTAATTATAGACCTATATCTATTTTAAACACGAAATATTATGAACAGGGATATTCTATTTAAGGGTTTTTTTGAATAATACTTTAAAATATCCTTAATTTTCTCCAAATTCCACAATTGTCTAGGACAGTTTTTGAGGAAATATTTGATTTTCGCAACGCCGGCGTTGGAAATCACAACGTTCACAGGCATTTTTGCCAAAAGTAGCATGTCCCGTAATTTTCGGTTTAGCGAGATCTTCAAAACATGCGCACATTTTGCAAAACATGTGTAACAACGTAATAGATTTTCCTAAAAGTGGCGGCAAATAGTATTTCTAAACAGAAAAAGACAAAACATGTTATGTTGGAAACAAGTTAAATTTTACTTTTGGTCTAGCCACAAAAAAGAGAGGGGAAATAGGTCCAATAATTTCAATTGATGACAGAAATGAAGCAATGGGCGGAACGTTTATGCAGTATAGTTATAGGTTGTGCAAATAAAGCAAAATTTTATTCGCCAATGTCGAAAATCACTATTGCTGACAATTATAGCTAAACGTACAGCCAACACAGCTATGAAAAATGTTCAAACCAATCTTTTGGTGTGAATATATTCCGACCAAAATATGGCGTGAATATATTCAGACCAAAATATTTGCGTGAAAATATCCAGCTGACCAAAATATTGGCGTGAATATATTCACACCAAAATATGGCGTGAAATTATTATTTTCACGCTACAACTTTGGTCTGAATATTTTCACGCCAAAATTTTGGTCTGAATATTTTCACGTCAATATTTTAATATTGGCGTGAAAATATTCAGACCGAAATTTTGGCGTGAAAATATTCAGACCAAAGTTTGGCGTGAAAATAATCAGACCAAAATTATGGCATGAATAAATTCAGACAGAAATATTGGCGTGAAAATATTCAGACCAAAATTTTGGGATGAAAAAATTCAGACCAAAATATTGGCGTGAAAATATTCAGACCAAAGTTTTAACGTGAAAATAATCAGACCAAAATTATGGCATGAATATATTCAGACCGAAATATTGGCGTGAAAATATTCAGACCAAAATTTTGGGATGAAAATATTCAGACCAAAATATTGGCGTGAAAATATTCAGACCAAAGTTTTAGCGTGAAAATAATCCGACCAAAATTATGGCATGAATATATTCAGACCAAAAGATTGGCGTGAAAATATTCAGACCAAAATTTTGGCGTGAGAATATCCAGACCAAAAAATATGGCGTGAAAATATTCAGACCAAAGTTTTAGCGTGAAAATAATCCGACCAAAATTATGGCATGAATATATTCAGACCAAAATATTGGCATGAAAATATTCAGACCAAAATTTTGGCGTGAGAATATCCAGACCAAAGTTTCAGCGTGAAAATAATCCGACCAAAATTTTGGCGTGAAAATATTCAGACCAAAATTTTGGCGTGAGAATATCAGACCAAAAAATATGGCGTGAAAATATTCAGACCAAAGTTTTAGCGTGAAAATAATCCGACCAAAATTATGGCATGAATATATTCAGACCAAAATATTGGCATGAAAATATTCAGACCAAAGTTTTAGCGTGAAAATAATCCGACCAAAAACTATGGCATGAATATATTCAGACCAAAAGATTGGCGTGAAAATATTCAGACCAAAATTTTGGCGTGAGAACATCCAGACCAAAGTTTTAGCGTGAAAATAATCCGACCAAAATTATGGCATGAATATATTCAGACCAAAAGATTGGCGTGAAAATATTCAGACCAAAATTTTGGCGTGAGAATATCCAAACCAAAAAATATGGCGTGAAAATATTCAGACGAAAATCATGGCATGAATATATTCAGACCAAAATATGGCGTGACAATATTCAGACCAAACTGCATGGTGTCAAACTAATAATAATCAAAGAAAAACGTTGGCGTGAAATATTGAAACCAATCTTTTTGTGTGAATATATTCAAACCAAACTTTTGCAATAAAGATTAAAGACGTTAAAAACAGTTGGCATGAAGAGATTTAGAGATTGCCTTAACTTATTTGAATCAAACACAAGTTGAAAATCTGAATATTTTAATTTTGACTAATTAATATTGAAACAACATCTATAACAGGACTTGATACATGCAATATTAATATGTTCACGTAATAAACTTATAGAGGCAGTTAAGTCAAAATGTAAACAACCCACAAATCTGCAAAACGGAGCACACTATATTCATGATGCAGTTAGTTAATATACGTTATGCTTTTAAATGAAGATATATTTGAGTTTCAATTCAGAATATGTCAAAACTCAAAACAATGCAAAGTTTGAGTATTGTTTACATCAGAAGGCCGTCTCATAGCACATGGACAGAACGGACTTGGCCGCCTCTTTAATAAATTTACTCTTACTGTAAATAATTAGTTATGACTTATGGGACACTCTCAACACTTGAGTCTTTGTTCAATAAGTCTGCACTTGGTAAATGAGAGTTCCAATACCAGACACTTATATTGGGCGGCATTGCATGCAACGGCACATGATCCTGCCCCACTACATGCATCCAAGACATGTAGAGATTTGTCAGGAGTAAACAATTCTAATAAAGAAGAATATAGTTTTACCGGCTTCTGACGTTCGTATACTTCGCCAGTATCTTTCTCTTTCACCATTTGCTCACCATCAACACTGAAAAGATCATTCACCGTTAACATGCGGGAAGTTTTGGACATTCTGGTGACCATGAACGGCACCACTGTCTTGGATAATGAAACACTTTCTATGGGAGGAAAGAGGTATATATTAAAACAGGTCAAATCCACAGTGGGAGCACTGAAGATACACTCTACTTTTTGCTTAAATAACGATATTAGTAGTTAAACAAACCTTTGGCAGCACAACTTGGGTTATGGAAATATCCCATATCCCAATCAATCTTCAGTGCTGCAAGTGCGCACTTGGCGACATCCAATTGTTGCAGCATGACATCATTTGGGGAGGAGGTTGGAAACAACACAAATCGGCATTCTGTAACACTTTTTCTAAAATTTATGCTTTTCATTGTGCGAATGAATTTTGTCACGTCTTCCTCAGTCCAAGTCTAATAAATGCAGAAAAAATTTAATAGAAGCAAATCGCACTGTGCATTAATGTCCTTTGGTCAGAAAATTAGGACAAACAGATGCAATAACCCAACAAACAAGAGAAAGACAATGGACAATTGAGCGAAGATATTGCGAGAGGCAAAGTTTTTCTCGTCCCTCGTCTAGCCGGGCGCATTTCAGAAATGTTAGGGAAAATCATTTACCTTAGGTAGATCAATGAAAATTATCTCTGCACCCCCAAACTTCCACACATCTAACAATGACAGATCTTTACGGCAATCCATTTTAATCACTTTAACTTCGCAGGGAACAGCTTCGTCCATCCCTTCGCTTGCGACCGCTCTTTGAATATACGACTTTAGATTGTCTTGTGCATGCCCTCGTAACACTGATCCACGAAAGCGATGAAGACATCCTTCTTTAGTAAAGTCAGGGAACCTGAAACAATCAAAACGTTCATTCACAGTTGAAACTGAAAATCAAATATCGGAACGATCATAGATGTTTTGACCACATGAAGGTAACCTGCAACAATTTGGATTACAAAAGGATTATCTATAAGAACTCTTAAAGTGTCGTATTGTGCGTTGGACTGACGTATGTATACACTTAATTGTTACAAGGGAACCTGAAAAAAACAACTTGGAATGTTAGCGAAATTACTATGAACATGCGTACCTTCTCACTGCTTCGTCCCAAGATGAAGAACATGAGAGCTTAACAAAAACATTTTGCACAGCTCTCATTTCTTTTAATCTCGACACTTCTGCTTCCAGTTCGGATAAGGACAATGTATTCGCGTTGACGTCTTTGAGTAGTTTCAGTAGTTCCACACTCGTCACTTCACCTCGAAACATCTTCAACTTTGATGGTGGAAAATCGATTTTTTGTACGACGGCAGAATGTCTTTGTTTTAGAACTTTTTTGGAGACCCTTTGTCCCGTTAATTCGGCCTTCCCAAACTTGGCAATCATCTCCTGGATTTCGTTGAGAAGTTCCTGCCCAAATTCACTGGATACGTAGAGGACATTTGATAATGTTGCCTCCTGAAATCATTGAATGGAGCTTACAATAACCTTTTTACCCTTATTTGGACAAAAAAGGGCATACAGTACTGATTGAAACTGACCTACTGGAGTGACTTGCCTATTGCAAAAGGGAAAGATAAAGAGCACTTCCTGCAAAACGAGTAGTGGGTATGTTTTGTGATGTTACTCTGAGTACGTGTATATCCACACTGGACAAGATTGAAAAATATGTGAAAGTTTTAACCCTAATGCCTAACCCCTGTAAAAAGCTCGCTCGGTGGTGCCGCTTGCACCCCACTAGAAATATTTCCACCCCTCCTTTAAAAAAAATGAAAATCCAACCTTGGCTACCAGTCTTTCCTTTACTAGTAAAGTCTTAATGACAGAAATCAATAAAATAAGCTGTAATACAATTTCAACTGTTAATATTGCAGATTTGCAATTTCAACTGTTAATATTGCAGATTTGCAATCTGAGCAAGTGTAGATAGACTCGATGACAGGAACTCTGCAGATGGGTAGAGATGCAAATATCTCAAAAATATAAGCAGAACTTCAACACATTGAGCGAAATACCTTTATCGGGAAGTTGGTAGGCGAAACGTTGAAGACATGTTTATATTTTTTAGGTATTAGTTGAATCTCTATCAACTCTATTTTCATACTATTCATGACTGCCATAGATTTAATATATAAATCTAACAAAATACTATACAATACTTATACTTATTAACTCACATTTTCACCAATTATGGTACAACATGTCTTTCGCCAATCCACACATTTTTTCCCATTAAAGTGTTGTGATAATAGGTTCGCACAGAGTTCAATCTTTATTATCATGGTGGGTTATAGAAAGATAATTAAACAAAAAATTAGAATTGAAATATAAAAATATATTGAAAAAAACCACTAACATATAAATAAATACCTTGTCACTCGTACTCATATCATGGTGAATCGAGTCTACTCTGTTCTGAAGCTGTGCCAGTCGTAAGGCATCTCTTTCAGGCATTTCTGCAATAAAGCAAGGACTTGTATTTTAATATCTATTTTTACCATTATATCATGAACATTTCAGAGCATATTCTTATCCATATCAGATATCAAATACCGGTATGATATTAATTAAATAAATGCTTTTTTACTAACTTTGCAAATATTGAAATTGAACATACCAACAAAAAGTTGAACCATGGCATATTTATGGACATTCTTGTCCAGTTTCCCCTCTTTGTGTAGCTGTTGAATTGCTTCACGTCGATGGTTTCCTCCAATAACTTCCAGTGCATACCCATCAAGATCCTTTTCTTCAAACTGTTCCTTTGAATTAATGCCCTTCACAATAGCAATCAGAGGCTTCGGAAAGTTGCACTGACGTTCCAAGATTTCATTCTTGAGCGAATCGACAAACAGCAGGTCAAGCGGTCTTACCAAATATGCTTTACGTGGCTCAGTTAATGTGTGTGTAAGCACTTTGACAGGATCTTATAACAAAAAAGTACCATAGGTTAATTAATATCCAAATGAAAAATTATCATTTTAATGCAAACATTGTACAGTATCACCCGTATTCAAAAAGCTCACTCACACTCAACGAGTGCAGGTTCAATCTGAGCTTCTCTTGAGTGTTAATGCTGTTTTTGAATAGCTGGAGGGCTAGTATTATAACTTACTTGGTAACTACTTGCCCTCCAGTTATTCAAAAATGGCATTGGCACTCAAGAGAAGCTCAAATTGAACCTCCACTCATCGAGTGTGAGTGAGCATTAGAATACGGGATTATGACTGCACAAGCTTATAACAATGCTGTTGTCATTGCATGTATACTGGTCAACATTTTTTTATAATATAGCATCTGTAAATTCTGAACGTTGATTGGCTATGATCTGTGTTCAGTGTGTTGACATAACTCAAAATCAACACAGAAAATTTCTTTCTTTGTATTTCTTTGTGCTATATTATCAAAAAATATAAAACATTTCTGCCTATTGATATACAAGTGCTATAGTAATCACCACAAGTTTGATATACTGTATAAAGTTCATTATTTGGGAACTATATAGACAAAGCAGATTACATGTGCACTAATCTTTTTAAATGTATCAATTTCAATGTGGTATTTAAAAAAAAAACATTATTAATGACCGACTGACCCTGATTTCATGATATGAAACCGGAACCACAGGTATTTTTTAGGCCTAAGTATACCTAATAGATGTAAGTAATAAAAATGTTGTCCTTTAATTATCAAGACACATGAATATGAGCAAATAATTATGTTGACTGTTTTGTGCATAAAACTCTGCTCTTGATGACGAATAAAATCGTCTGGCGTTAGACAGAGTAAAATAATCTGACAGAGTACAATAATAAAGTTGGGTGTATCAGGGTGCAATGCAACTCTATGGGTTAAACTTTGTTGCCCTACATTTCATGCAACAGACCAAATTGCAGTCCACTCAGTTCAATTATCATTATTTTATATAGCCTCTATACAAACTCAGGGCAATTCGGGCACATAATTTCTACATATTATTACTGTTTGATTTCAGTATGTCTTATGCCCTGATATTATGTCAGAATTGGTAGGAAAATGCCAATTTTACTTGTCAAAAGAATATAAAAATATCGGTTTGAAGTTCCCCGCACACTGTCAGTCGGTCACTGTTTATTTACTATTTTTCACATTCTGACATTAATATTAAAATTCATGCCATCCCGAAATGCTATTCATTTAAATTGTTAACATTGAAGAACTCACCAACATAATTTAAACTGGCTGTCTGTCATATACATTGGCAAATACCATTGACAAGTACCCAGTGCAAACATTCAGTTAGTCGCCATTTTGAATTTTACTGTAAAAGTAAATTTTGACGGGAAATATTCGTCAGGCCGCTTTATTTAGGCATAATTAAGTGTTGGCGCGAATTTTGAAAATGAACTGTTTTTGTAGGATTGCGATCGCTATCGCGACGTGATTTTCCAGTCTTGAAAAGCAACTAAAACCAAAGAAATTTCAAAACTTTACGCTATAAAAACAAAATGTTATAGTCGGCTATGGCGCTATTAAATATTTGCAAAATTTGAACGAGGGTCAATGTTATCTACGGCGACAGAAGTAACTAATGCAACGCTGTCCGGAATCGCGTTTTGTCCACAGGGCATATAGGCATAGCTACCGTTAGTTAATTCAATTTTGCTATGTAACATTTAAACATTTACAAACCTTCTTTGATAGCATATTCTCTCATAACCATCTCGTAAAATGCGCTGTCTTGCTCTTTCGGATTTCTTGTCAGCTTTTCGACTTTCCTCGCTCGTTTTTCAGCCAATTCATCGGGAAGAGGCTCGACCTCAACAGGAACTTGTGCAGTGCCAGCGTGTTTACGCTTTCCCAATGGCAATGTAGTATTACCGGGCAAGATATTTGTCGGGGGTGAAACGGTATCTCGGACAAGCAAAAGTGGACTTTCGGCAACATTAATCTCTTCAACACTAGACTCATTTATACTGTCCTTTTCACTGAGGGTGGGTTCGGCTTCATTAGGGCTATCGACCGTCACCGCATTTGCGTTGTCCTCGTTTGCCAACACGCTCACGGCAGAGACGTCTTTAACCGCGTTGCCTTCTCTGAGACTGTTGAACTTGGCAGCAAAGCGTTCCGTCGATTGAACATACGGTTCAAATGCTCGTGAATAATCGTTGCCGGTAAAATCGAATGTTGTAATAGTAAACATTAGTGGTTTGTCCTTGTCGCGAAATTGAAGCTAAGAATTAAAAATAAAAAACCCATGGTAAATTGATTATTTTTCGAAGCATTGATACATTGTTACCCGGCCTACTTACTTTGAGTTGGTCATTTTTGGAGGAACTTGGCGTGATATGAATTACTTCCTTGAGTTCATTACCATTGCTTTTCACGAGACCATTTCTTCGCTGGACAAATGCTTTTGATTCCTTAGATGTAAACCACCATTTCCCTCGATCAAACCGTTCCGCATTGGTCTTCATATTCATACTCGTTCGACTTGCAGTAGGTATGACAAATATATGACAGAGACACAGATTTATTTGCCAGCTATATGACAAACCCACATCCGACGCATAATCAAACTTGATGCAATTTGACGCCCATAAATCATACTGGATGATCACTAATCAATGCAAAATATGCCGGTGTTCATAATAGGTACCTGTATCGTGTTATTCATGTTAGTATAGAACTGCAGTTTTTTATAAATGCTACTCAGTCGCGCATATAGATTTTGGGATTGGGAAAAATAATGTGGCATTTATACACCGTTTTCTTGAAGCAATGTGTAGCTTTTTTAAAATAACATTTCTCACAGATTCAAAAAATGCGCAACAGGCCGGATGTCACACCACTATATAGCTTGTGTTTTATACTACAATAGCTTTATACTAGGATTAACTCACAATCGTTCTAAAGTTTGCAAAAACATTTTGGTTTGGCTTGAGCAATGTTTTTTGTCAAGAACATTTCTCAATTGCACCTTTAGCCTTTATACCTGCTTTATTTTGAAAAATCGAAACAACGAATTTTTCATTGCAGTAACATTGTCAAAATATTATGGAAGTTTTTCATATCGCGTAAAGTGCGTGAAACGCGCATACGTTTGCTTATTTGGTTCAAAAGTGCTCATACAACATTATGATGCCGAGAAGATTATCTAAATCCTGACCTTATTATAGTTTTTTTTTGTGATTCTTGAAACCACGATATGTTACCCTCGACATTTAGCAGTCAATATTTTACCCTCGACATTTTATCCTCGCCCTCGACATTTTACTCTCGACCCTCGACCAATAAAAGGCCGCAACTTTTCATGTTGCATTTTACATTTAATACTATACAAGCTAGGAAATGGAAAATGTAGTTTATACTGTCTGCATTCTGCAGCTATTCACCATGCAGTTCATTTGTAAACGATCAAGCGACAGTATTTATCGAAAAGTGCGAAATTTATTGTGTGATATTCATTGAAATGTGATTATGTTGGTGATGACATCATCTTGAAGGAATGTGTCACGTGCTGGAGTAAGCCAATCGCATTCCTTCAATGTTTATTTAAAATATAAGTTTATACCGTTGGAAAGTGTTGCAGGCTTGTAGCAGCGCATATTATTATTATTCGATATTTTATACCACAAGTTTTTACCATATGTGCGTCGGCTAAGTTTGTGGTTTCTCATGGAGTCAGAGGAGTTCAATACGAGTGAATTGGAAGAACCTGATTTCAGTTCCGAGGTAGAAAGCTGTATCTCACCTTTGAGTTTGACGGTTGATAATGCCGCATCACCTTGTAGTTACAACACGAGCGAGTTAGATGTAGACGATTCGACTGCCCGTTTTACTTTCTCGAGTACATCGCTCAAAAGCGACTGTTCGCTGGACGATTACAATCAGTTGTCGCTGGCAAATGGGGGCCATTCCATTTAATATCCACACCCCCCTGTGGACGAAGTTAATGATTTTGGACCCCTTCGGAAACGGTTTTTGGGAAGACCCCCTCGGAAATTTGCTATTTTTCGCGGAACCCCCTTGGAAATTTTCAATTTTACTCAAGCCCTTCGGAAATACTTGTTGACGAGGTTCCATCACAGAAGACCCCTTCGGAAATTTTGAAATTTTTCATCCCCCTTCGGAAATTTTGTATAATTTTCTTACCCCTCAGAAACAGACCCTGTTGACGAGGTTGCTGATTTTTTACCCCTTAGGAAATTTTCAAATTTTTATAACCCCTTCGGAAATTTTATATAATTTTCTTACCCCCTCAGAAACACTCCCAGATTTTTTACCCCCTCGGAAATTTACGATTTTTCTCAACCCCTCGGAATTTTTCTCAACGCCTCAGTGGGGGCCCTAACCCCATCAGAAATTTTTACATTTGTCTGAACCCCTCGGAAATTTGGATATTTTTCCCAACTCCCTTGGAATTGATGTATCCGGCATACACTATGGGCATAGTGCGGGCGGAAGAAGAAAGGGCGTCGTCGAGGAAACGCCTGCCGAAATGGCTATGACAAATTTGTTTTTGACCGAAGAAACTTCGGCTTAATTCCCATTGGTTAATCTCGTTGATGGAAGTAATTACATAACTCAAATCGGTCAACTGTCAACAATAATTTTGCCTGTGTATCGAATAGCAGATAGCCGTATATATTCTCATAAAAATATGCTTGTTACCTGTAATGCTTTGGGGAAACTCTCATGGCCGTTCCTAGACGCGATAATTGGGTGGGTGTATATTCATATATTTGTGTTCTGTCCGACGGATTTCATTTGAAAGCGATTGATTTTACGGTATGTGAACATGAATATATGAAATATCCCCCCCCCCCAAGTTATGGCCCTGGAAACTCTCTGATATTGCATGTTTAGACTATTTAGGCTTAGATCGAAATTTAGTTGAAACCAGAACTCTGGAAGTCTATTATTAATTTGCTACGTGGTGAAGACGCCTGTTATCGTGCTTCTTCCTACGCCAGAGCCTTTTTTAAGGATTTTCCCGGGGTTCGGGCATTTTTTGAATATATCAGAGGGGGATAGCAATGGCTGAAGGCCACGTGTGGCCGACATACCACACATGAATAAGGGGTCTGTGGGAAAATCTTTGAAATTTGAAGCCCAGAAATGCCATTTCCTCCATATATTCTGAGCATCCAATTTTGCTCTAAAATTATAGGAGGATGCCAATGGCCGAAGGCCTAAAAAATCCCAGAAAAAAACCCTGCTGGTTTGTTTGTATAAATTTAGGAAAAAGGGACTTTTCCTTGCGGGGTGGGGGGGGGGGGGCACAATGTGATTACGTGGAGGGAGGGTACAAGAGGGGATTGGGGAGGGCATTTGCCCCCTAGCTTGTATGTTAAAAAAGGCCCTGTCCTACGCCTACGGGATACGGAAATGTTTGGTCTTTGGCAATAGTTGCGATTAGCTAAATGTCAGCACCAGCAGTGATTGAATATTTCTGATAGTTGTCTTGTTATTTGTTCACTTTAAAGTATAATTCATTTCAAGACCAGATATGGTCGAGGCTACGTCACTTGGCATTGCAACTATATGAAGTTGGACGATGATTTTTAAGAATACATTTCAAAACATGCTCAACTGGTATTTGCTACGGTAGAATACGTTAAACAATCGTGGTTCACGAGCCTTTTAAAGGTTAGGTCTGTTTCATACGTCGCACTATCGTCGAATTTAATTCAGACGAATTTAATTGAACGAATTAAGTTTTATCCGTTATGTAACCTGAATATTGATCGTGACTAAAACACCACACGAGTACATACGAGTAACACAAAGGTACATACGAGTACATACGAGTACATACGAGGAACACACGAGTACATACGAGTAACATACGAGTACATACGAGTAACATACGAGTAACACACAAGTACATACGAGTAAAACACAAGTACATACGAGTACATACGAGTAAAATACGACCAGTAAACTTGTTTTTAGTGTTTGTAGATTGAATACAGGCAAAAAGATCGTCTTCCCTGTCGTAAAACGTGAAATAGACTGAAACCGGCTATCTTTAAAACCCGGAAAGGGGAACGGGGAATGGAGAAACGGGGAATGGGAGAACGGGAAGTGGAGGAACGGGGAACGGAGGGAATGGTGGGGCGAGGGGGAAAGGGAGAAAATAGGAGACAAGGGGCGGGGGAGGTCTGCCAGATTCTATAAACCACAACTTTGTAGTTTGTACAACATCTACTTTTAGGTATTCTACCTAGATAGTTAGATACATGACACAAACCATAGGCTTCACATATTTCACAGCATGGTTTGCTTTCAAAACCCTGTGAGCACGCACAAAACCTAACTCACTAAATGCATCTACTTAAAATAGTACTAGGTGATAAACTTACAATCCTCACATAGCCTCAATCATAACATGTGGCTAGGCAAATATACGAACTACACAGTTAACTTATACCGTGACGACATACGACAGTTCCGAGACCGAAATACAGGACAACAGGGCCTTTTTTAAGGATTTTCCCGTGGGGGGTATTTTTTGAAAAGGGATCTTAGATAATATATTAGAGGGGGATAGCAATGGCCGACGGCCATGTGTGTGGCCGACATACTCCCCCACGGAAAATGTTTTAAATTTGAACCTTTCAAATACCATTTCCTGCGTTATGAGCGTCTAAATTTGCTCTAAAATTTATGCTAATTATACTTGTATTTGAAATAAAAGAAGGAAAAATGCAGATAAAATAAAAGAAATATTAACAATAATTTATCCAATACTTATTATATAAGGGGGATAGCAATGGCCGTGGGCCACGTGTGTGGCCGACATACTGCGAATGAATAGGGGGATCTGGAGGCATTAACTCCCCCAGAAAATGTTTGAAATTTCAAGCCCAAAAATGCCATTTCCTGCCGTCTGAGCATCTAAATTTTCTAGAATTTATCCTAACTATACTTCTATTTGAAATAAAAGAAGGAAAAAACGCACAAAGAATTTAAAAAATATTAACAATAATTTATCATTACTTAGTGTTAGAAACACGTAGGATGCGCACGCGGTGACACAGTCCTTTAAATCGATTTTGTTAAACAAGGAGAAAGGGGAAAGCCTAAAACTTACGTTCCGTTTATCAATTTGTTATTCTTCGCTGGTTTGTTTGTATAAATTTAAGAAATAGGGACAGCGAGCCTCAGAACATGCATTTTAATTTCCGATCAGCCTGCATCAGAGCAAAGTATCCAAGCTTTCTTGGCGACGTTCTCGTTCCTCCAGACTTTCCTCCCCTTTTCAAGGTGGAGCACGTCCAAAGGCTTGCAGGAGAGTTCGGCTGGGTCCTTTAGAAACGTACTTGCCAACTTAAATTGCTAACTTAAAATCTGCGTATTTTGAAGTATTTTGTGTTTTGTTAGTTTTGCTTTGTAAGATATTTAAAATAGGATAATCACTTTAAGATATCATATGGAGCATAAGGACCGCCTTGGGCTTGCATCTAGTCCT